GTTGTGATGAGTAAGGGCTCCAATCCAAATATTCGCATGTTGCTGGCTGTTTTTGGCTCTCCTGTAAAATTTTAAAATGTGGACATGACCTTTACATGTTAAGCCCGCAAAATATTGTTTGTAATCTGAGATATTCAAACTTTTTACATTTTTTTCAAAGTGCTTATTGAGCAGTTTCCTTTGGAATTAGGCCGAACAATCGAAATTAGTTACTCTAATCGAAAATTCAGAAAAATATCTAAAAACTCTTTGTAGTCGTTTGTTCTCATAGTTCCATTAAATTACACATTAATATATAATATCTATTTTTTAAATACTTACTTTTATACATATATACATTTTTAAATGTTTGTAATTATTTTTATTGATTTTCGCCCTTGAATATAACACCTCAAAAACAATTATTATTTTAAATAAGTTTTCATAAAACATTACATTTTTGTTATCACATCAAAAATTCAAAAAAAGAATCATTCATTCTTCGCTTGCTATTCTTCATCCATTTACAAAAACATAAAATAATAATTAAACACATTCCTTTTATTTCGAAAAAATATATTTAAAATTTTGTTGTTAATATTTTAAAAAATATCTAATTGTGCTGCCATATATTAAAATCATATACATAAATAAATAAACAATATATATTTATATAAAGCTTGTTTATAATTCCGGTGCATTTTTGCTATACAACAACAAAAAACAAACTCACAATAGAATCTTTTATTGATGGTGGAATAAAAACCTGCAGGAACTCTTCCATATATCTTATCCTTTCAATATATAAACTATATTTCTTATTGAATATAGTATCCACCTATGAAAGATTCCATTGCATTCTCATTCAATGTCTAATTAAGTTTTTTTGATTTTCCATAAAAAAACAACAACAGAAACTTTCAAGTCTATTTTTAATGCTTTAATATAATTCTCTTTTTTACAGACTCAATACAAAAACAAAATAATAAGAAACTAAAAAAAGCTTGACGGCAAACAGTTCGTACGCTCGCTCGCTAACTATATAATTTTCACTAGAGCTTGTATAGTTATTTTTTAGTTTTTTATATTTTATTTTCAAATTTCCTTTTTCCGTTCCGTTACCTAATTTTTTTGTTTATTTCTGTGTTCCTCTGTTTTAGAAATTTTCAAATCCCTTTGAAAAAAAACAAAATACTTTGAAAATAAAGAAAAAAACACACGTTAAATGGATGAAATGAATTATCTTAAGAGTAAAAAAATTAAAATAATAATAACTAAAAAATACAACAAAAACTTCCCACTGCGCTTCTATATATTTAACAAAAAAGAAATGAAATACTTTTTTTCTATTAACCAGAAACAAAAATATTATTTTTTATGAAAACAAATTTTTTCTCTCTTTAACTCTACGTATTTCGTATATAACAATTTTTATTTATTTTCTTTAACCTTGTGTGAAAAAAAACTGAGAAAAAAACTAATACAAATTTCTTTAAGTTTCTACTTCAAAGCTTTTTGATGTGTTTTTGGTTGTTGGAAATTTTTTTTTATCAGTTTCATACACCATCCCCTTGCCAATGTTTGGTTTCTGGATAAATGTGTGTGTGTGTTTTAAATGGATTTTTTGTTTTATTTTTGGTTTTACTTGATTTCTATTTCTAACTACCTGGCGTCCCATTTTATTTTTAATTTTTATTATAAACTATGGTGGTCCAATATGACAAAAAAGTGCAAAAAATTATATGTATGTTGCATTGAGGCTTTAATTCTGTTGCCACACCACTCCACACACTCTAGCCACTATGCTACAATTAGTTCCACCTTCAATGCTTCCTATCGTATTTGGTAACTTCTTGTGGTAAAGTTTCACCTGAAACAAAAAAACAGTTTTTTGTTGCTAGTTTCCTCTTTTTGGCATAATTACAAATAAATTTTTGCAACCACTTCAAAAAAAACTACAATAAATTTATTTATTTTTTTTTTATTTTCTAATCCACCAAACCTCAAAAACAAAAGTTTCCCAAAAACCTAAACATTTTTTAAATAAAAAAACTTACAAAAATATGTAATGCTTTATTTGTTCTCACTCACCGAAAACTACAAAAAACAACAACAATCAACAACTACAACAAAAAAATTGCAAAGCTTTCAAAGCAAATAATTATATTTTTATTTGAATTATTGTTATAATTTTATTTGTTTTACTTTTTGTTTAATATATTTTCAAATATAATTGGCACTATAGGATGTGATTTTGTGTTATGTAATTAAATGTTAGGTATTATATATTTTGTTTAATATAAGAACAATGAAAATTGTGTGTAATAAAACAAGAACCGTAGATACTAATAATAACAACATTAAAAATAATTAAATCTCAAAATTTGTCCATGGTTCATATACTGCAAAAATATAATTTTTAAATATCTAACAACTTAGTAAAATAAACTAACAAATATTTTATAAAATTTATAATGTGAAGCCCTGCATTACCTACATATAGCCATATTACTTGGATGATGATGTTAAAACCATCAACAAATATGTATCTGCATTTTCTGAGAAGATATTTGTTTTTACCATTCAAGGCTTGGGCTATGTCAAAACATAGACCGATATATGCCATTTTGTATAAATCTTTGTAAAAGAATAACAAACAAAAATAAAAATTACGTCTATTTCATACGCTAAATAGCACAGATCTTCGCCGAGAAATACAGATTTCGTCTTTGAACATAAGCGGAACTTCACGCAAACTTTCAAAGTCATCGACGGAATATTTGCGACCTCTTGTGAGTGAACTCAAAGTTTCTGCGGATCTATATTCCGAGCCTGTGTAATATTTCGCGATATTTTCACTCTCTTAACCGATTAGAAGTCAACAGCTCCTCTGCGGCATCTTTAAATTAAGATTTAAATTTGGTAATTTTACACAAACAAATTTTGGTTCCTTTGAACCCTTTATAAATATGACAGTCATCCGAATTGATTGGTCCTCATGGTTCCTCATGGAAAATTTGTGATGTTCGAATTATAATTGTGGCGTCTAGAGTGACTATAAAACAGACAAAAATATAGCTTTTGGTCAACAGCATCCCCTAAATATTAACTCCAAAAATAGTGCGGGTCTTCCTTGGCCAGAACCCGTCCTACATGCATTTTCGTGACGATTGGAACATAACTGTGGCCTGTATCGTGTTTACAAAATATAATGGACAGAGGGATGAACGGAGTCACATGTCTAGATGGACTCAGGTAGTCAATAGTATACCAAAAGTTGGGTCTGGGACCAATATTACGTGGCGTTACAAACTCTTGGGGTCACACAAAGCTATAATACCCTGAGAACATAGCTGTGTAGGATAATATTACGAACTCAAGTTCTGGAAAAAACTTAAATTAATAAAATATTAATTAAAATGCATAAAATAATATATAGGAATAAAAAAATAAAAATATTAGATCGGTAATTTGGGGGTTGCGTAATAAATAGATAGTAAGACTTCTAACCGATGAATCCCGGATTCAAATCCACCCAGTGGAGGAAAGGCTATTTAAATGTCGGTTTCGAATGTTTTTCAAAAGAATCGTGCATCCCACTCCAGGTGGATGCTTCCGAAGTCCTCTGATATTCTAAAACCCCTAATTTGCATTAACACAAGAGGATAGTACAATGAATGCCAGGAAATAGCGCCACACAGACAACACTAAATAAGCAATGTCCCCAACCACTGGGATGAGTCCCAAATTCGAATCCCACCAGATAAGGAATAATTATTTTAATATGTTTTTCGAATGATTTAAAAAAAAGAATCATGTATCCCGTTCCAGATAAAATTCATCCGAATTCCTCTGAATTCCCAAAACTCAGCACAAATCATTCTCGTCTTATTTTTTTTATGCTATGCCAATTTTCCTGCAAATCGAAAGAAATGTAGGGGCTTTGGTACATCATTTACATAAAATCGAACGAAAATATATATGGGAGCTATATCTAAATCTGAACCGATTTTCACCAATTTCAATAGGGTTCGTCCTGAAGTCCAATAAATGAGCTGCACCAAATCTTATTAAAATCGGATTATAAATTCGACCTGTACTTTGTTTACAATTTAACATCAACAGACGGACAGACATGCATAAATCGACTCAGAAAGTGATTCTATGCATATTCTCAAAAGGAACTATGGTTATATCTCATTTCGGTTTGCATGTTACATACATATGCACAAAGACATAATACCCTGCATCACAGCATAAAATGTAAAAAAAAGGGTTTCTTTAAAAAATTACAGCCTATTCCAAATATATATATCAAATAAATTTAAAAAAATATATAATGTATAATGTCAATGTCAACGAAAAATTTTGTTTTAACACAGCGTCAAAGATTTCGATATGTCAGACAACTGAATATTAAAAATATACCCTAAAATATACACAATTTTCATTGTTCTATCCGATTATATTTTATTTTTCTCTTAATTTAATAAGAACAAAAGTAGGATATATTTTCTGGTTACATTTTTAGTTCTTTTATTTTCTTATTAATACTAAGCCAAGTAACTAAATATTTAATAACATAATCTCTTACTTTTCTCTTCTTTTTTGCCTCAATTTTCTTCTTTCTTGTTTTCGCTGTCTATCTCTGTGTCTACTCCTCTTTCTCTCTCTCAATCTCTCTCTTTCTCTCATCACTACTGATAACACTTATGTATAATTTATTTTTATCATTTTTTAATTTCCATGTTCATATATATTGTTTGTGTGTATGTATGTATGTATATATGTGTGTCTGTGTATTAATAATATATCAACGTGTGCGTGCGACACATAACATATTCATCACACGGCTGTTAATAATCATGTTCATATTTTTTTACAATCATGATGTTTTTTTTTGTTTCTCCCCTCTTTCTTGTTTTTTACCTTTCTCTTGTTCTTTCTTTTTCTTTCTCTCTCTCGCTCTCGTCTCCAAACGTTTTTTCTTCATCCCACTGTATCTCTCCCCTCTTAAAAAGGGCAATGCCGCCAATTCTTCGGAAACATCAATGGCCACACAGCCTGGTGGTTCGATGACATCGAGAGCTGCATCGGAAACACGCTCGGGACCGCCCGGTTCCAGTAGTGGTGCTGGCACTACAGGTAATAGCAGTGGTGGAAATGCAAGTACTACACAGACTGGTGCAAAATTTCGTCATGGCCTATTGCAGCTTATGATTCACACAATAGATCCGCTACATGATGGTGAGTTCATGATGTTTCCATAGTGATGTTGCACTATCCCCTCACTAACACACACCGACACATAAACACCTCCCACACACCCACACACACATACACTCACAATTTCCTTCCCAACCAAAAACACAGACACATACACGCCAAAATATACACTTTCAATTTTTTTGTCTATGGCTTTGTTGATCACCCAACACCACCACATAAATCACACATTTCAAAAAAAAAAATAATCCCATAATTTTCCCTGTATTCCCAAATTATCCTCTCTCGCTCTAACCATATCAACCATGCCAAATTGTTATTCATATTCAGTTTCATAAAAGCTCTCCCTCTCTCTCACACATTTTGTTCAGATAACAACAAAGACCAAAAAACCCAATACCAATGCGTTTTTAAAATTCTTGTTCCATTTTTTTTAAATTAGTAAAACCAAAAAATATTATACAAAGAAAAGAGCTTATTTTCAATTCAATATTAAAAACAAAAACTTGTTTGTGCTTTTTATTCCTTTCCAAAAGAAAAGTTAAAGAAATTAAAAAAAACATACAAAATAATTAACCATCATTTTTATTAAAAGAACAAAAGCTTTTAGTGTTACCCTTATCATTTGCCTTAATTTTTTTTTCATTTTAAGTTTTCTTTTGCAAGACGAATTGGAAAATTTATATACAAAAAAATATAAATAATTGCTTGTTAAATGTTTATAAATTTATAAAAAAAATAAATGAAACAAATCATAACAATATTAAAAAATTATATGCAGGGTGATTAACCTATTTTGAATGAAATGCTACATACAATTCTATACAACGTGAAACTTTAAAGTTCGTTTCCTCAATTTATATTGAAAAATGTTAAAAAAAAATATAAAATATTTCAAATAAAATATAATTAATTCAATGAGAACTGAATATAATAAATATATCGTACACTACTCTGATTTATGGGAATTGAGAGTTATTGGTGTCCAAACATTGATTTAAATCATGTTTGAAGGTTGGGGAATATTAGTCCCCATCCAATTAGTACCTCCCTCCTAACATGGTCAAACTGAAGAAGAAACCAGTGAGCCGAGTAGTATAGTCGGATGGGTACGTCCATAAGATACCCACATACAGAACTATCACTGAGCATTATCTAACTGCGGATCTATATTTCGAATCTGGACGATATTTCGCAGTTTTTGCACCATCCAGTGTGATAATAGTAATACTAAACGATACTAAAATATATAGATCCCTAAACATAGTTTAGTATTTCTCTCATATACGTCTTCTACCATCAATAAAAATGGTATTAAATTAAAGGTCAATAGATCCTATTTCATACACTAGTAATTTTTCTGGGCCATGTTTTTAACTGAGTGAAAGTACTAAAAAAAATCAATTCAATTCTACACACAAAAGTCTTTGGATCCTCTAAATAATCTGTCCATATTTAGCGAATTCTCAAAACAGCCATTAGTTGATCAGATCACATTCGAAGTGTAAAATTTATTACCTCTGCAGCGACTGGATAAAAATATAGTTATCAGTTCATTTCATATCCTAAATATATTCTGACTAGGACCGAAAACTTCACCTAAAATAAGAGCGATCAACGTGATATTTTCGCATCTAATGCGGTAATAGTAATACTGAACAATATCGGAATACGTAGATACATTTAAATATTCATTTAGTTAGGTGGATCGAGGCAGAACATTTGTTCCATTAGTCGAGCTTAGAAAAGATATCCTAGCGTGTCGACCTTGTGCGCCGTTTCAATTTCTTCAAAGGTGACTGTTAGCGCTCTCAATGTTCGACCAATTATGTCGATGCCATCGGCGTAGGCGAGTAACAGAGTGTAATTTCTGTTCGTATGACCTTTTCCAGCAGGTTACTAAAAAGGTCACACGATAGGCTGTCACCTCGTTTGAACCCTCGTTCGGTATTAAATGGCTCCGATAGGTCCTTTTCAACTATAACTGCTGACCTTGTGACAGTTAAAGACATCCTCCATAACTGTATTAATTTCGCAGGAATGCCGAACGCAGACATGGCTTTGAATTCAGTTTTATAGTCGACGAATAGATGGAATGTGTCGACGTGTTTTCCATGGGACAGTCCCATTTTTGGGCACGGGACACGATTCTAAAATTCCAATCATTGGATATGTATTCCTCTACCCAAATTGTCCTCCTGACTAGCAACTGACCACAGGTCTTGAATAGTTTGGTTTGTAGCCCATGATTTATTATTCTTCAGCCGATTGATTGCTATCCAAATATTATTGTGGCTATTTTTTACACTCTATACCATCATCTTTTATTGGTTCTGGAGTGTCTTCTACACCCCCACTATTTGAAGCTTTGCAAATGCTCCTTTCAGATACTCAGTACGTTATCTGTATCTGTAACAATGTGTGCACATTCCAAATGCAGATTCGCAGATCGTGTTCCTTAAAAAGTTTGCGGGAGTAGTCGGTCTTTTGTAAGATATCTAAGTCTAAGAGTCATTTATTAGATCTTCTATACTCCCACCGATTTTCTATAAAACATGAAGGTTATCTATGAAATTGTTAGAGCTGATGTAGCTTCTTTAATGACAGCACCTAATTTTTTTGTTCAAACTAAGATCTTATATAACAACTTAATTTCTATTATAAGAATTTCAAGTCTTCTATAAAATGGTCAAATCCTCTATAAAAACTTCAAGTCTTCTAAAAATATTCAAATATTCTATAATAACTGTAAAAACCTTTAAATAAAACTTGTATAGTATTTTTATGTTTCCTATGATACCACTATGTCTTCTTTGTTTATTTAATAAACATTTTTTTCAAGTGTAAGATATTATATTCAGCTCTAGGCAACTTCAATAATTTATATTTCTTCATACATAACAACTTTAAAGTTTCAAATTTCTAAAAAAAACAAAACAAAAACAACTATAATTTCAAGCTCTTTTCAATGACAAAACTATAATGAAACAAAAAACTAAAAGCATGAAACAAAATCTGCTTAACAAAATCAAAAAATAACTAACACCAAATCTTTCATATTTTGCCATTTTTAGAAAGCACTATAACGCTCACATTGCTTTCAAGCGTCTTATCATTCAAGTTGAAACACGAAAAAAGCAAAAACTAAACTTCAAATGCTTAATAAAAAAATGAAAACAAAACCACTCAAAAAATTCACTCATTTTGCAGTGATCATCACAACTATTTGTTTATTCTCTCTTGAAAAGAAAAAAATTCAAATGACAATCTATCGCTCGCACCTTTTGACACAAATTTTCAAACAATGACAATTTTTGAAAAAAAAAGCAATAAAAACAAAATGTACAAAAGAGACACAATTCCTCCCCCACCCTCAAAAATTCACTTTAACCACTATAAATATAAAAATAATTGTAAAAAAGAAATACAACACTTATCCCACAGATTATACCAACCTCCCTTGAGCCCTTTTTTAAACAAACTTCCTCCCAAACCGTCCTCAACCCCCTTTTAAATATAAATAACAAAAACCTATATATTGTCTCCCTATATATATAAAAAATATTTTTATTTATATATAAATCTCTATAAATATACATTTATATATAATATAAAAACAAGACTACCTCTATCCGAATTCTATCTCTCAGTAGTTTCAGTGTTTGTACGTGCGTTCCTTTTTGATTTGAGAATTAAATTTTATAAAAAAAACAAAAACAAAAAACGTTGAAAATTAAATCTAAATTATTTACACACAAAAAAATAAAACAAAATGTTTATATATATAATTTTTTTTTGTTAAAATAAAACTCTTGAAGAAAAATAAATCCAAAACTAATGGAAATAGTAAAAGTTTTGTTTAAAGACTGCCGCAAATCACCCTGTATATAAAAGTATAATAAAAAATAATAATTTATATAATATTTTTAGTTTAAATTTTATTTTATTTTAATTTAGTTTTCTACGAAAGGTTGTATACATAACACATGGACAGTAAAATCTGAAGGGTTACAAACAAGTGTGGACTTATACCTTACTGTATCTATAAGAATCTTATATCTATTTTGAAAAATTTGCCTATGAGACCTCTGATCGTCTTTAAGATCTGAATATCGTCTACAAAACTTATTGGTTTTCCGTAAGGCATATGGACTTTCTATAAGGCAACAAGACCTGCAGGTCTTCTATAAAACCCTGTGACCCTCTATTAGACTTTTTTACTTTTATATGGCATTTTATACTACAATAGATCTTCTATAAGATCCTTGGTCTTCTTTAAGACCCTTTGTCTTCTATTAGATCCCTAGTCTTATATAACATTCCTAGGACCCTATGGGTACATAAAGACCAATTGGTCTCCATAAAGGCCTGTAGCCTCTATATAGACCAATTGGTCTCTATAAAGATCTACGGTCTCTATATAGACCAATTGGTCTCTATAAAGATCTGTAGTCTCTATATAGACCTGTGGTCTCTAAATTGACCAATGTAGAACGACCTGTGGTCTCTATATAGACCTGTGGTGTCTATAAAAACCTGTGGTCTCTATATAGACCAATTGGTCTATATATATACGACAAGTAGGTTAGGTCTTCTATAAGACCTTTAGTCCTTCTAGAAGAGATATTTACATCTTATATGCACTCTTCAGATCAGATCGTTAGAGATTCTATAAAATATTTACAGCTTCTTTGGACCTTTAATGCTGCTATAAAATCATTGGATTTCTTATAACATTCTTAGATCTATTTTATACGAATTTTAGGTTGTCTAAATAGATATTAAAGTCTTGTTTAAAATAATCTTATTTCTCGTTCTTAGGTCTTCTATATGACCTGTATGTCTTCCTTATAACTTCAAAGTTTTCTATATTTATTTTTGATAGTATATCCATCCATTTATTTTGGTCCGATCCGGAAAGAATTGCTTCCAAAAAAACTATTCCGAAAAATTATTCGGTTCTAAGACCAGTTCCATTCTTCATCTAACACCTATTTATACCCTTCACCACACTGTGGTAC